TCTATCTATCTATCTATCTATCTATCTATCTATCTATCTATCTATCTTATCTACCTACCTACCTATCGTTTATCTACCATCTACCATCCATCCATCTATTTATATTTCTACCTCTACCTCTACCTCTACCCCCCACCTCTCTCTCTCGTAAATTGAGGATTACCTATCCACTAATCCTTGATTACCAGTCTTAAACGGAAATAAAGTTTGACTGGACATATTCATTCTGCCATTTGGCCTTTCTGGATTAAATCCTGGATTAAATCCTATTTCTCTGGATGCCGTTGCGTCTCAGAAGGATTGAAAAATACCTCGATCAGCCTGGCCATCCCAAAATCTCCCACTTTGCAAATATAGTTTTCTCCCACCAGGACGTTCCTGGCAGCCAAATCCCGATGTATGAAATTCTGCGATTCCAGGTAGCTCATCCCCTCGGCCACCTGGGAGGCCAAGCAGACCAGTTCCACCAGCTTCATCTGTTTCCCCTCTGGACCTGGGAAGAAACGGACAGTGACATAAGAATCCCCCAGACCATGAGTTCCCCCACCACCACAAAAAAGTTTCACTTCTTTTTTAGATGGAGATAGCAAGAGGAGGCATCTCATACACGGAGCTCAGAGAAAGATAGATTAACAGATTAACAGAGTTGGAAGGGACCTTATGGGTCATCTAGTACAACCCCAATGTAGGTCATTAGACAACCCGGTGCCCACAGGCACCAAGAGGAGACTCCCATTACGGGGACCACACACTAGTGGGCCAGAGGTTTTCAGGTGGATGGTGGGGAATGGAATTCTTCAGTCAGAGCTGAAGAAGCTTCTTGGATGAGCAGTGAAATGTCTTCAAAGAAAAACCAGAAAGTCCAGTGGCCCCTTGGGGAAAAAAGCACCTTTGGGACAACCATGACCTGGAGGACTGAGCATCTCCATAGGCATCTTGGAAAGAGGAGAAAAGACTAGAGAAGGACTTAGAATAGAATAACAGAGTTGGAAGGGACTTTGGAGGTCTTCTAGTCCAACCCTCTGCCTAGGTAGGAAACCCTACACCACTTCATACAACTGTTATCCAATCTTTTCTTTAAAACCACCAGTCTTGGAGCATTCACAACTTCTGGAGGCAAGTTGTTCCACTGATTAATTATTTTGTCAGGAAATTTCTCCTTAGTTCTAGACTGCTTCTCTCCTTGATGAGTTTCCACCCATTGCTTCTTGTCCTGCCTTCAGGTGTTTTGGAGAATAGCTTGATTCCTCTTCTTTGTGGTAGCCTCTCAAATATTGGAACCCTGCTATCACGTTTCCCCTAATCCTTCTTGTCATTAGACTAGACATACCCACTTCCTGCAACTGTTCTTCGTATGTTTTAGCCTCCAGTCCCCTAATCACCTTTGTGGCTTTTCTCTGCACTCTTTCTAGAGTCTCAACATCTTTTTTACATCGTGGCGACCAAAACAGGATGCAGTATTCCAAGGGTGGCCTTACCAAGGCATTATAAAGTGGCGTTAACACTTCACGTGATCTTGATTCTATCTATTCTGTTTATGCAGCCTAGGACTCTGTTGGCTATTTTTTTTTGCCAGCGGCTGCACACTTTTGGTCACCAAGGAGGATGCAATGGACCATAACACCATTTTGTGAACAGGCCATCTTCTGGCGAGCTTCTGTGGGGTGGGTTGCTGATGTTCTTACAATGCACTTTTGTCCTCATTTGGGCAAAATCTAGGCTTAGCTATGGATACTTTTGGACAGAGGGGCGGAACCAGGAAAAAGGCGATGGTCTTACCCCAGAGGTCTCCAAATTGGCGACTTTTAAGACTTGTGGACTTCAACTCCCAGAATGGGAGTTGAAGTCCACAAGTCTTAAAGTCGCCAAGTTTGGAGGCCTCTGCTTCTTACCTTTCTGGTCTTACCTCTCAAGAAGGCGAGCAAGTTCCCTTTGGTCATGATTTCAGTGATGATGTAGACGGGATCCCCGGCCGAGCAGATGGCATAGAGAGAAAGAATATTTTTGTGCTTCAACAACCTCAGGGCCTCGATCTCATTTCTGAAGGTGTCCTGGCACGTCAGATCGGCTGGGATGGGACGAAAAGCAATGGTAAATTTCTCCCTTCTGGTATACCTCAACTCCTGATTACTTTACCAGGCGTATAGGTAATCATCGACTTACAACCACAAGTGAGGCCTGTTGTAACTTCGAACAGCCGCTAAGTCAAGGATTACCTGTATTTAAGTCAAGGATTCATAAGTCAAGGATTACCTGTATTTAAAAAAAGGGGGGTGGGGCTTCATTTGCCTGAAAAACTCCAGCGGATGGATCTCGTCATCAGAGAGAGTATCTTAACTTACTGCACCTCTGTATGGTTTGCCAATTGCACAGTGGCAGATAGGACAGCGCTCCAGAGGGTTAGCGTCATTGCCCAGAGGATCATGGGTTGCCTTCTCCCCTCTTTGGAAGAGCTTTATAGCTCCCGCTGCCTTAAGAAAGTTCAAAACATTCTCAAAGATCCATCTCATTCTGGGTTCCTTTTTTTTTTTTAACTATTACCATCTGACAGATGGTACAGGATAATAAAAACAAGGACAAACAGGCTGAAAAACAGCTTCTATCCCAGGGCAGTAGCTCTTAAAGAATTCTACTGTATAGTGTAATATTAATGCAACATCTGGGGTTTTCAATTCAATGTATAGAAACGGTTCTCTACGGATGGTGAACCTATGGCACGTGTGCCACACGCAGAGCCATTTGTGCCGGCACACAAGTTGCAGGCAAACTTGACTCACTGTTGATTTTCGGCTGGTTTCAGGCCTTTTTCAGCCTCCCAAAGGCCTGAGGAAGGCTTCTGCAGGCTAAAAACTAGGCCCGTTTCATCACTTCCTGTTTTTCCGAAAATACCAGAAGTGACGAAACGGGACTAGTTTTCGGCCTGCAAAGCCTGCAGAAGCCCTTCCTCAAGCCTCTGGGAGGCCAAAAAAGGCCTCAAACTGGCTGCAAATCAGCTGTGAGGCACAGTGCAGGTAAGGGGGTGACGGGGGTGCAAGGGTGGGGATTGCGTGCGCATGCATAGAGGCGTGGGGGGCATATATTGCCTTCTGGGTGCTGGCACGCCAGTGCGAGCGTGCCAGCACGTGCCCAATTTTTGGCACAGGAGCCCAAAAAGGTTAGCTACCACTGGTATAGAATGTGTGTTTGTGTTTATTTTCATAGTCATAATGTACACTGAAGACAATGACAATAAACTAAACTAAATCATCTGACTTTCATTTCCATGAGACTACTTTACCTCTCTTTAACACTTTGATAGCAACTTTCACTTTCTCTTTCCAAAGTCCCTCGTAGACTTCTCCAAAGGAGCCTGAGTCCAACTTCCGGATCAGACGGAATTCGTCTCTGGGCCTCTCCCAATTGTCCCAGTGCGGCATGGCCTTTGGCTCCGGCTTGGGTCAAAAAGAAAGTCAAAATGGGGGTTAAGTTTTCTCCAAGATTTATTTCGTGTACCGTTGGCAACTTTTCTTCTCCCAATTTCAAGTAGTCCTCGATTTATGGCCATTTGTTTAGTGACCGTTCGAAGGCTACGGCCCTAAAAAAAAAAATGACATAGGGCCGTTTTTCACATTTACGACCGTTGCTCAGCATCCGCCCAGTCACGTGATCAAAAATCGGATGCTAAGCAACCGACTCATATTTATGACGGTCGCAGTGTCCCTGTGGGGGGGGGTCATGCAATTCCCCTTTTTGTGACCTTCTGACAAGCCAAGGGGAAGCCAGATTCGCTTTACAATGGTGTTACTAACTTTTAACAACTGCAGTGCTTCTCTTAACGACGGTGGCAAGCTAGGTTGTAAAGTGTGGCAAAACTCACTTCACGACAGTCTTGCTTAGCGACAGAAATATTGGGCTCAGCTGTGGTCCTAAGCCGGGGATTAGGTGTATCGCTTGCTCTACATTTTTTGTTTTGCCAAAAAAAAAAAAAACGGAAAAAAAAACCCGGAAGAACAGCTGCAAAACTTCATTTCTGCAGGTAGTTTCAAGATGCTGAATGGCTGATATTGTTTGACCTGAAATGCAAAACTTCCTTTTAAACAGGACTTTCTTTTTGTTTGGGGCGGGGGCACTTGGGGAATTAGGGGAGGGGGAGGAGTGGGCCCAGCAGGCTGCCTCCTCTCCCAGCCAGTTCCAGCCTGTTGTCACCGTCCTTTTCATCACACCTTTATGCTATTGGATTGGCTAATTGTGGACATGGGTGCCAGGTGGGGGCTAAATAGAGGAAATTAGCTGAACATTTCCCACGGGAAGTTTCAGACTCCGCCGGACTTCTCTGCAATTGCTTGTCTCAGTAAAAGTCCCTTTCGGAATGCTAATGGTTTCGAGAGTTTCCTTTCCTGAAAAGGTAGATGAGGCAGGTCCTTACATTAGGCAGAGTTTGCAAAACAAAAGGCCAACCCAGAGAGGCAGCTGTCATACCGTAGGGCAGTGGCCCCCAACCTTTTTTGTGCCACAGCCCGCTACCGGCATCACAGAATGATCCGCGGCCCGGTACCGGCATCAGCACGCATGACAAGGCAAGGCGAGCCGAGCGACCGGCCAGCCAGCCGTCCCCCGCTTCTCCCCACCACCTTCAACTCCTCCTTTGTACCTTTGTCGATGGGCTTCACTTCGGGACGGTCGCTCAGCTCGCCTTGCCTTGGGTGCTGAAAGAATCCTCGTGCCTTAGTTTCGTTCGAAGCCCCCCCCCTTCGATGAAACTAAGGCGCGAGGATTCCTTCAGGACCCAAATGGCGCTTTCCAACCGGAAAAGCTCACCCGGAAGCACTTTCTCGTCAAACAAGATGGCGGTGCCCAGCAAACCAGCGGCGCGGTAGGAAATGTTCCATGGACCGGTACCGGTCCGCGGCCTGGTGGTTGGGGACCCCTGCTGTAGGGAATCGTGAGAACGATGTCTAGTCAAGGCAGGGACCAGGAGGAAACTGAATGCTGGTGGAAAGCCTTCACATAAGGAAAAAACCCTGCCACACGGATAGAGGAAGCTGTGACCCTGCAGGACTCAGCTAAGCCCAGGTGTGCCATAGGTGTTGGAAAGAAGAACGACTGGGATGGAGGACAAAAGGAGTCAACCTTGCCCGAGGCAATCATCAACGCGGGTGGAAAGAGGAGCTGAAAGGGCTGGAGGCCGAAGAGGAGGAAGGGGACGAACCTAGTCTCCTCAGGAAGCAAGCCATGCGATACATGATAGATGCCTTCCAGAACATGAAGACGCAGGAGGCTCTGGCCTGGATGTCGGCAGATAATGGCCATCAAAGCCGACCAGAGGATGTAGATGGGAGGGCTTCACCCTTGGACACCACTGCAGGAGTAGCTGGCACCCCAGCTTGGGCGGCAATGGTGGCAGGAACTCCACAGGTGGGCACAAAGGGGGCCAACGTCCCAAGATCAGATGACGGGGCAGTTCCTCAAAGACAGAAGAACCCCCCGCTCGGTGTGAGGTTTGATGGAGACCCTCAACAACTAGGGTTCTTCCTGCTGCACGTTCTCATCTACATGCAGGAGTACAGCCACGAGATCCCCACCGAAGGAGCCAAGGTGAGGGTTGTCATGCTGGCACTAGAGGGGGGCCGCGGCCAGTTGGATGGTCACCCTCCACAACGCGAATGCTCCTGAGTTGAGAAACTTCAACCAATTCATGACGGCTCTACGGCGGCGATTCGAAGACCCTCCTGGCTGACTGCAAAACCAAAGGCCGCATAAAAACTGCACGGCAGGGGCGCCGGCGGGCGGCTGAGTACACTGAGGAATTTCGAGACCTAGCCTGGCGTCTTGACTGGCCAGAAGACATCCTAGTGAGTTACTTCAAAGATGGGCTAAACAACGACCTGTACACCACTTGCATCGCGAGAGGAGACCCATCTCATCTCCACGACTGGTATGTGCTAGCCGAAGAAGTAGAGATCGACCAAGCTCGTAAAAGGTACCGCTCGGGCAAAGTGTGGAAGAGATCGCCTCCGGAGAGGAAGAGAGAGGCAGCCAAAAGCCCAAGTCCAGCCGACGCGCTCCTCCTCCTGCTTCAAGTGCGGCACAGAAGGACACCGAGCAGCGGAGTGCCAAGCTAAGTGCCCTGCTAAGAACAGGGACCAAATGCCGGGCAGAAAAGCCACAAAGCAGCAACCGCACGTGAAGCAGACGACCCTGAAGAGCTGGAAGGTCATGGAGGTCACCCACTCACTCGCTTAAACAAGAGGAGGGAACTGCCATCCCACTGGAGAGAGACCAGTGGTCGACCGATACCGACTCTGACTATGACCCTCCGGTAAGTGGCCCAATCTAATCTCTAATACTCCCGTGATCCCTAGTGATTAGATTAAGATTAGATTAACAGAGTTGGAAGGGATCTTGTAGGTCATCTAATCCAGGGGGCGTGGCAACTTTAAGACTTGTGGACTTCAACTCCCAGAGTTCCTCAGCCAGC